GTCGGGGGGGGGGCTGACTGGGGCGGGAACTGGGCCGCAGCTCCAGGAGGCAGCACAATAACACAGTCGCTCAAAACTCTGAGCTCCACCGTGCAAAAGGAACTCTGTGCAAAGCGGATTTTGAATGGAATGCTTTGCACCCCGTTTCTAGCTATTTCAAATAATCCTGCAAACTGGGAAGCAGAAACAATTTAAAAGTCACATTTTCCTTAATCCTAAATCCGTGTGGGTCATAACTGGGGAATTTAAAGTATGGTGAACCACTCTAGCAAAGAGAGGACCAAATCCCTAATCCCAAGGACTTTTCGAATCCCAAGGAGTTCAGCAGAGGCATGAGTGCGCGGCCTGCTCGCTCGGCGCGTTTCTCTCCTTCCTCAAACTTCCTTAGCTGTCCCACCGAACGCTGAGCCGCCCCTGACCTCTGACCACCCCCAGACACCAGAATGCAGGGCTTCATGTGGCTGCGAGGCATTTGCGTGCACGGTGCCTGCGGAACCCGAGAATGCGCAGGCCTGAGCCCGCGTGGGGCAGGCGCGTCCGCAGTGCTCCGATTTCCCCCAGGCATTTCAGTTCCCGCCTTCCCGTGGCCTGGGGCTGTGGGCTCCAGGGTCTGAGGCTGCGGGCGGCCGCGGCCGCAGAGCCCTCATCCTGGAGTTCTCCCGCCGCCCGGGTTGTTTTCGCCTATAGCATTTTTGGCGCTATGTGCGTTCCTTCCCGCCTCCTCCCCCACCTCTCGCCCTCATTGTCCTGAGTCTTTGAAAGTTGGGAGAGTCGAGATACTTCTGAGGACTGATAATGAAGTCCCACTTAAGTGGGAGGCAATTCCCGCCCCTTCCCCCCTCAAAGAAGTAGATTGTGTTTTCACTTTGTCCGTTTGTTTTGGTTTGGGTGCTGCCGCTTAAAAAATTAGAGCAAAATGAACGTGAACAAAAAGAAAAAGAGAATTGTTTAGAGCTAGAGCAGAGGAAGGAGAGAAGGCGCCCTAACCGCGGCCCGAACGCAGAGCGGACCTTTGCGCTGGGGCGGCGGTTCCAGCCAGCCTCGGGCCTACCCTGGTTCTCGCTGTTCCGATTTCTGGGGAGCCAGGCGAGCTCGCTTTTGTTGCCCGTGTTCCTGTGTGTGAGTGTCCTTCCGAGGAGTCGCAGGAGGCTTTTCCTGTTGCATTCTGAGCCTCCATTACAACAACCGAAGCCCGCGGGCCTCGGCAAGCCTCCTGGCTCGCTCGCCCAGGGACAGGCCCTCACCTCCACCCCCGCAAGTAAGGAACCCCGAGCTCTTGCACCTACTTAGGGGTGCGGAGCCGCCGCAGTACTCGAAAGGCGAGGCCTGGGAGTCAAGGGAAGGGGCGGACGCGAAGCTCGGCTCGCCGGGGGCCGCGCCCGTGCGCTGTGGACTAGGACGCAGGCGGGCCCTCTGAACTTTGGGGACAGCAGCCATGGTGGGCAAACTGGGAAACTTTGGAGCTTTCCAACTTCTCAAGAGCCTGAGTTCGGCCTTGGAAGCCTCGAGCCCCGGCGCAGGTCGGAACTCCAGCTGCTGAGGCTTCTCAGGCCCGCAGGACAGCGGCCCCGCCCGCGGCGCCACGGCATCCAGGACCTCTCCAGGCTGGTGGCGGCAGCCGACCCGAATCCTGAGGCCCTGGGGGCCCGGGCGGCGAGGAGGTCGGCGCGCAGCGGGCCGGGTCAGGACCGGGTCGGGCAGCAAGGTCTGCAGCCCCCGCGTTGCTCTACTTCGCCCGGCTGGAGAGCAGGGCGATGTCACCCGGAGCCCCGCCTGGGTGGTAACAAGACCCTGGCCAGTCACCCCTGTAGCCCAGACTAACTTCTTTCAACAGCCTCTGATGGTAATTACAGTAATCGAAGCTGCCATATATCTTTAGGCAATTATGACACACAAAAAGCCCCGAGGGGACCCCCTGGCGAGGGAAGTTAAGACGGTTTTCCAGCCTCAGGAAACTCCGGCTCGCCTCACGTAGGAGCTCGCTCGGCTTGCTAAATGAGAGGAGCTTTGCAACGGGGTCAACCAGCTTGTCTCGTGACCCCAAGTCACCTTAACGTGGCTGGGTGGCGGAGTCTGAGGCGCAGACCCGCTATGTCCCGGAATCTTCGCGTCGCTCCCTCCTGTTCCCGCCCCAGCCCGGTTGTCTGTCAGTAATCTGCCCCAGGAGCCGTGGCTCGGAGGTGTGCCCAGAGGCAGGGCCAACCCGCAGCGGTGGCGGCCTAGGGGAGCGACCGTCCAGGAGCCCGGGCCCTGGGAGCGTGAGGAGCGTCGCCCGCCCCGTGCTGGTTTTCCCTGCACCCTATCTAGTTCTCCAGAAATGTGTGCCATGGGCCTCCCACGCGCTCATCCTGGCATCATCCATAGTGCCACGGAGAAGAGGACAGCTGGGGCGACAGTATTGCGGGCCCCAAACATGGACCCCAGCGCGGCCAGAGGGCGCGTGTTATACAGAGGAGGATGGTTGCAAAATATGGAAACCAAGCTTACTGCTTCCAGAGTGAGTGTGGGGCAGCAGAGTTCGCGACCCCGGCTCCTGGGCGACCGTGAGTTCCCTTGGGCGCAGTGACAGGCCCGAGGGGGTGGAGGACTAGACCCGTTGTGGCCTCGCCTGGCTCTCTTCAGCCCCTCCCTCCCCCAGCACAACCTCCCCTCCCGCCCTGCGGCACAGGGGGCGCCGAGGCGGTGGCCGCCGCGCCGCGCGCCTCTCCAGCAGGCCTTTGTCGCAGTCCGAATTCCCATGCTACTCTTTTTGACGGGTCACTGGTGGCTCTATAGGCAGGTGCTGCGGCGGGGTTGTAATTACCCCGGCCGAGCCTGGTCGTTACCGAACCCCCTTCCGAAGGCGGGTCCCCCGCGTTGTCCCTCCCCACCCCCACCTGCGGCTAGCCCGGGATCGGGGTGAGAGCCCGCCCCGACGGCTCGGAATCCGGAGCAAGCTTCCACCTCTGAGGCCGCCAGGGCCCTCCCCAGGCCGCGCCCTCACATCCCTTGCTCCTCTCGCCGAGTTGTTCTCACTCCTGCCTCTCCCCACCCCAGCACGGCCGTGGTCCCCAACCTAAGCGCTCCCGGGAGCGGCTGTCGAATTTTAACGAGGCCCGAGGCCGCCTGACCCGGACTGGAGGCCTGCGGATGGCTAGCGACGGGAAAATCCAAAGTTAACAAGTTAATTGTTATTAACTATATTTTTATAATTATTATTAAAGTGTTAACACTTTAAGCCTCCTTTTCTTTTTCCTTTTTTTTTTTTTTTCCCCTTGCTGGAGGAAAGATTTCTAAGTACCTATAAACAGCTTCAGGCACTTGCTAGAATCTTGAACCTTAGAAAAAAATAATTCCCCCCCGTTTTAAATTTTCGCTTCTTGCCCTCTCCCTGACACTCCTCCAGGGTCCGTGGCCACCCCAGGCTTGAGCAAATTCCGAGGGAAGTTCTTTTGAGCCGGGGTTCAGTGGGGGTGGGGAACTCAGTCAGATCCATTAAAACAAATCGGCCTCGGACGGCGGCCGAAAAACCGGGAGGAAGAGACCCTCCGTGAACCAAGTGTGGGAGGGTCTTGCAGGAAGAAAGGACTTGGGGCGTGGGAAGGCCGGGGGTGGCTGTCCCACGCTAACCTGTCGGGAAATCCATAACTTGCGTCCCTCTCCTCTTACTCGCCTAGCCTGGCGCTATTTTGTGGAGGAAATAATTTTTCCTCAAAGAAATAATCTCTCAAAAGCGATCCACCAAGCATTTTTTTTTTTGATAGGTAAAGCGAAAGTTGGGCAATTACCACTACCCTTATTATCATTAATAATCCGAGTATTAGCATTACAATAATAATCCTAATAATAACAACCGCCCGGCGGAGCTCAGAGAAAACTCGATTGCCTTCCAGCTGCCATGCCTGGTTCCAGCCGTGTTTGTTTTTCTTCTTTTCCTTTTGCATTTCAAGTTTGTCTCCTCGCGCGCTCGCTAACAACTTTCTCTGTTAAATGCAAGAGCGGAGGAGGGAGGCGGCCAAACTTTCCGCAGAGCAGCAAGCAGCGGCGGGCTGTGCTGCCGCCCGGGCCTGCTGTAATCTTTTATTCCAAAATGGGTCTCGGCGATTAGAGGAGACCCAAATACATGTAGCGGTGCATGAATAATGCTCATTGTAGGAAACTGACACTTGCTCAAGGAAAAAAAGTTTGGCTATAAAATCACTTCATTATTTGCTTTTACCGCAGCTTCGGTGCTAATCCCTTCAGAGGTCAGATTGCTTAGCATCTCTCTCTCCCTCTCCCCTTTCCTCCTTCTCCTCCGCCCTCCTTTCCCTCTCACCCCTTCCCCCCTTCCCTGTCTTTCCTGCGATTTCAGGCCGCATTTTAGATATCCCCTGCAAAGTGTGTGGCGACCGCAGCTCGGGGAAACACTACGGTGTCTACGCCTGTGACGGCTGCTCGGGGTTTTTCAAACGGAGTATCCGACGGAATAGGACGTATGTCTGCAAATCTGGAAACCAGGTACCTTAGGCGGGGCTTCACTGCCCGGCTCCCCTCTGTTGCCTCGCCTCTCCTTTGTTTGGGCCAAGGCCTCCTCTGAGTTTCCAGGCTGTTGAGGAGAGACCAGGCTCTGACCTCACCCCTCCCCTCCTTCTTGCCTCAACTCTCCGGAAGGCCCTTGGACTCTGGAAAGGTGGGAAGAGGTAAGGGAGGAAATATTAGTTCGCAGGAGGAAGTCTGTCCCAGAACCTCCCTACACTTTTTTTTTTTTTTTTTTTTAATTCTCTGACAGACTTTGGCACTGGGTAAGGCCCACACCCAGTGGCTATGAAGCCAGCCCAGGAGACCTAAGGAACTTTAGAGTGTAAGCTATAAGTAGCAAGCAGGAGAAAGGTCTATGTTATGGTGGCTGCCCACCCATCCTCATTCCTAGCAGCACCCAAGCTCACTTCTCTGACAACAGCGTGGGATGGCAGAAGTAAAATGCACACTAGCATTGGAGTCAAGGTCACCACCACCTTCAGTTGAGACCCAAAGTAAGCATTGATCACTTGGAAGAGAGAGGTGGTGCAAAGCTGCTCTGGAAGTGGGCAGTGGGACTTCAGTGCCCAGGTGACTTTAGCTAGGCCTAATCAGAAAAGAGCAGGTGAGGAAGAAAAGACAGGAAAGGAAGGTGCAACTGGGACCCTCTCCAAGGTTCCCATATCTCCTTCCTCCTCTGCTTAGAAGATGTGCCTGGTTGGTTGTGTTTTGGTCTTGAGCAGGCAGAACTGTTTCAAAGAGACAGGGGAGTCAGGGCATAGGCTGAGAGTGAACCAAAGCTTTCAGAAAGAGTGAGCAGAATCCCTGACTCAGTTTGCAGCTGAGTAATAGGCTTATTTCAACCTAGGAAATCAACCTTTCTGGTCCCACACTTGCTCTCTCCTTAGCCAGGAGCAGAGACCCTCCTCACAGATACCTTCACTCCTGGGAAGATCCCTGAGAGTACATTAGTCAGCATTCATCCTTTGGTATCCAAATGGTAAAAGACTTCCAACAATTAATACGTATATGGTACACACACACACGCATTGGTGCGAGTGAGTTATTCTGATATCTTTTTCTGAAGCCATGTCTGGTCATACCAACTTCGGATAGATTTGGATTAACAGCAAAAAACAAGAAGACATTTGCATTTGGATAAGTTATTTAGAACTCTCCAGGCCTGTTACCTGTTTGATTAGGTGCTCAGATCTGTATCAGTTTCTAGCTGCACCATATGGACGCATCACATTATACACACCACAGGACTGTGTCCCAATAGTGCCACAGGATTGTGGAATTACTGTTGGTTGTCAGACCTGAGCAGGCTTCTACTTAGATTATCTTTTACTTTTTTACACAATGCACAGAATTGGGGGATCAAAATCTCAGATGTTTTGCTTAATATTTTAAAAGGAGATGGTTATCAATTCAAGCATATTGATATCGGTCCAAGTACTTGTAAAGGGGTGATAATAGACTCATTAGGCCTGGGGTTCCTCTCCTTGCAGAGAGAATAAATGTGCTGAGCTGAGGCGCCTCATCCTTCTCTCAGGCACCAGATATTTATATACATTTGATCTGATTTGAAGACACACTTAAGAACTAATGAAGTCTTCCATTTTGCATTTGCATGCTTATCAGAATACTGGGAGGATACTATTCAAGGACAGACATATGATTACATTTAACAACGAGCTTTGTAAACCTCTTTATATTGAGCTATTACATTGGCCAGTGAAGATGCCATGAAAAAAAAATCACTTAGAAACCAAAAATTATTTCCTTTCTCTCTTTTATTCTAAGATTTGCTAAATAATGTTCTAATTTATTATTAACAGTAATGAGGATATTTAGAAATTGTGAACCTCTGCCCCACCTTTATTTTAAATAAATCAACATATTTTAAATTGGGGGGGAGGTGTGATCTTTTAAAACTGTGCATTCTAGTGTGTAGTTTTCCCCTAAGGGATATTTCAGGGGGAAATGTACTTACTCCAACTTCAGAGTATATGAATTTTTGAAACTATGAAGCAAAATAAAAATACATTTATTTTATTCTCTTTCTTCCCACCACAAATGTAACAGTACTAACTTATATAAATACAGGAGAGCACCAAACTTCTTTGACATTTTCTGTGTATAAAAATTATATGCGTATATGACTCTTTATGTATCTATGTATATGTTCCCTCAGTATGACACCTAACACTGAATAAATTTTTTAAAAAACTTTATCTGTAGATTTCCTCTTTTAATGGCCAATATTTTTTCAGCAAATTGCAATAGGTAAAACATTTATTTTCTTATGCATTTCAGATAAATATTTCTAAAGAAGTGAATACCTCTTTTTTCAGTTATTGTGCTAATATTCTCAGTTCATATTATCATTTTGTCGGACAGTGCACCACATTATCTTCTTGATCATATTTACATAGTGGGCATTTCTAGATTTTGCCCAGGCCTCGGCTGTTCCCTTCCCATTCTCACTTTCTGTAGATCTTGCTGTGCTAATGGCTCTGGCTTCTGTCTCACTGCTGGGAATGGCTGTGTTTCCATGAATCTGGGCTGAGGCTAGTCTTTAAGACAACTCTCAACATGCTGATTATATGGCTTCAGGTAGGAAAGCAAAAGTGAGGTAACAGGGAGAGTGAAGAATAAATGGGAGATATTTATCCTACAGATAAGTAGGTTCACCCAGAAAGAGGTTGACTGAAGACCTGAAAGAGGAACTAGTTGGCGGGAGGGGGCGTGGCATGGATCTTGACAAGCAAATCGAGCTCAGAGGCGTCCTTTTCTGGGCCAGGTCGCTGTCTTCGGTCCTGAAAAGTCTCGTCCCTGCTCCACCACTCTGCCACTGGCTGACATTCCCCTCGCGAGTTTCTCTTCCCAGCACTGCCGGGTCTTGCAAATGAGCCGCTCCTGACCCTTCACCTGCTTGGAGAAGGACTTTTTCTCCTTGTCCGCTTTTATAGGGTCGGGGTCTGGTCCTCTTGAAGTAGCCTGAGGAGTCCCAGCCCCTTCTCTACCTGGCCCTGCTCGTGCCCATGGCCCTAGCGCTTTGAGGGCCAGTCTCGCCGCTCGGGGGTCAGCGGCCAGGCTGGGTCGCGCCTGCACGCCGTTGCCTCCGCCCAGGCTCCGTCTTTCGGTCCCCGCCTGATGGCCCTGGGTCCGCTGATCGCCTGCGCTCTGTTCCAGGGAGGCTGCCCGGTGGACAAGACTCACAGAAACCAGTGCAGGGCGTGTCGGCTGAAGAAGTGTTTGGAAGTCAACATGAACAAAGATGGTAATCAGTACATGCCTTTATTCTTCTGATGTCTTTTGAGTAGTAAGTAAATTATATGTACAGAAAATACATGGCGCTCCTATGCATATAAATCATCTCCGAGCGGTCTTTCCAGATGCTGGGAATTGGCCTCGGGCTTTCAGTCATATCCTTCCCGTCTCTCAGCATTAGCCCCTGCTGACCCCACTGAACTCCCTAGGGCAAAGCCCATGCCCACATGGAAACTTGCTCCCACAACCACCCCCACTGCGCTAGGGATGCCCCTGCCTCGAGTCTCCTCTTCCCGCCTCTCTTTGCAGCCCTTCGTGGCCACCCCTAAGCCTGCTCGACTCCCCCAGGATCTTGCAATCTAAATAGTGTCCCGAGAGGAAATCGTTGGGGGCTGGGAGATCGTGGTGTGTTGGAGGGGGGAGGGCAGAGACACAAAGTCGCGGAATTTCGAGCCCTTGTTCGCAAATTCACTAAGGTGCCAAAATCAGTAGGCCATTGGGCCGCTCTAGGCTTTTCCAGAGCTTGCTGTCGGTTCTACAGAAAAGAGAGAAAAGGAGCTGGAGAGGCAGGGTGACGTCTGTGGGTGACACCCAGTTCCCAGAAGGCTCTTAGACGCGCGCAGGAAGAACTAGGACGTTAGGACGCTTCCCGGCCATGGAGCGCAGTCCAAGCCGCGTCCCCAGTGGTGGCCTGGCGAGGGCTCCCCAGGCCCGGGCGGGGTCCGGGGGTAGAGGGCGGGAGTGCGGAGTGGGGTCTGGGGTCGGCTTAGCTGTGGCCACGGGCCGGGCCGGTGGCAGCTCCACGAGGCACGGTGCCTGCGGGGGAGAGCTGCTTCCTCAGCAGCGCAGGAAGCAGGAGGGAGCGTCCAACCTGTTGGACTTGTGTATTGACAAGTTGTCAGGCTCGGCGGGCGGAAGATTGCCCTGAATTAATTTGTTTGTTTAATCTGTTTGTGGTAATTGTCACATCTCCCCTGCCTTCCTCCAGCACACTCGGAGACGGGCTCTCCCTCGTCTCATCCCGCAGCGTCCCCGGGGCCCGGGTTCTTGTCTCCTCGGGCCCTCGGAGTCCAAAAGCCACTTGGGTGGCGGCGCGGACTGGGGGTGGGAGAGTCTTTCTAGGGTGGGGTTGGAAACGTCTGTGCAGAGACGTTGTGCCCTGCAGTGATGGGGGCGAGGATACCTAGCTACGCCGGCCGCGAGGGTCCCCGGTTTCCCTGCGACAACCGCCCCTGCCCCCGGTTGGGGAGGAGCCCCGAGCAGACAGAAAATAGCTAGTCTTGCCTGAGACTCGGCCGTTTTCGCGGCACTTGGGGCACAGGCTCCTCTTCTCGGCCTCAGCTTCCTAAACTGCACAGCGAGGGGTTAGACGATCTCAGAGCGCCTTCCGCCCTCACGTTCCCTCTCCCCCCTTCTCTTCAATTCTTGGGTGACCTTGCCTGCCAGGTGCGGCATTAGGCCGGGGATCGCGGCAGCAGCTAAGTGTCGCGGCGTCTGTGACCCCGAGCGTGAGTCCATCTGTCTGTCTCTGCAGCCGTGCAGCACGAGCGGGGGCCTCGGACGTCCACCATCCGCAAGCAGGTGGCCCTCTACTTCCGAGGACACAAGGAGGAGAACGGGGCGGCCGCGCACTTCCCCCCCGCCGCGCTGCCCGCGCCGGCCTTCTTCACCGCGGTCACACAGCTGGAGCCGCACGGCCTGGAGCTGGCGGCGGTGTCCGCCACCCCCGAGCGGCAGACCCTCGTGAGCCTGGCTCAGCCCACGCCCAAGGTCAGGGGCCTTACTGGGCCCAAAGGGACTCGAGCCGAACGGAGGGAGGAGAGGGACGCACCCAGTTCTGAGCTGTGATGGGGTCAGGCAAAAGACGGAGAGACCTCCTGGGTGCTTGGCCGGTCCCTGCAGGGAGCTCTAGGCCTCCCACTCTCCCTCGTTGAGCCAAGGGTGCTCAAACTGTGGTGTAGAGTCACCCTCTGAGCGGCTACAAATGTGGACACCCCAGCCCATCCCCCAGATTGGTGGTAGTGGAGTCTGTCTAAACCCAGAGGGTGGCCTTAGGCGTTCCTGGTGGCCAGAGAGACATTTGTTTTTAGAAGAAAGGAGGAGGCTACAGCTGGAGGAAGTGCCCCTGAGTTTCAAATCTCAGGGAACTATTATCTTGGGCAAAGAACGGGGTCCCTAACACAAGAGAGAAATATGGAGCTCACACTGTTAGGACAGTTTGAGGAATCTGACTGCATTTTCCATGCTCCCCTTGCTGACTTCCGAGCCACGTGGATTTACACCAGTATTGAACCCCTACAAACAGGGCCACAGCCTGAACCACCTGGAAAGGCTGCCACCTAGGGACTACCCTCCAGGCCGCGAGCTGATCCCTACCTAAGGCCCCTACTACAGGCTGCAAAGGGCCTTAGGATCTCTCCCAGAGGAGGGCCAGCTGCAGCCCCACACTGAAGGGAAGCCAAACACCTGGGTACACACACGCGCGCAATATTTAATATTGCTTTCTTACCCTTGATGTGTATAATAAGCTCGGGAAAGTAGTGTTATGAATATGTTGTCAGTTATGAATGGGAATGCTCTGTGAATGATTAAGATGTCTAATTGAAATATTTCCATAATATACTAATCCTTTCTAAAAATACTCATATGCATATTTGTGTTTGGGATGCCTATTAATTTATACTTTTTTCACATCTATTTTTATTTACACAAATGCAAGCAGTTCTTGTCTAAACTGGGAGCCAGTCCTAGCACTTGGCTCAGCCCAAGGAAAATTTGCCTCAGGGGATAGAAAAGCCAGACATCCCTCTGGAAGGGAGAGACCTCCAAAGAGTGGGAATGGGCCTCCGTGAAAAGTATTGTTTCTTAAACTCTATAGATATAGATGTTTGGTTTTTACCCACCTATGGCAACTGTGTGTAAGCAGAACATCCAAATTCCTTTTTATCCCTTTCCCTGTTTTAATTAGAAAATCAAAAGTTTGGCTCTTCTTGCAAAGCTGTGGTTTGCTCACTTCCAGGTATCTGTCTTTTTTCCCCTTCCAGTACCCCCATGAAGTGAATGGGACTCCTATGTATCTCTATGAAGTGGCCACAGAGTCGGTGTGTGAATCAGCTGCCAGGCTTCTCTTTATGAGCATCAAGTGGGCAAAGAGCGTGCCAGCGTTCTCCACACTGACTTTGCAAGATCAGGTATGATCAACAAGCCCTTGCGGTTCTTAACAGCAATGAAGAAATTATTTTCACCAGCTTCTTTCTATGGGTTCAGAATATCTACCTACAGAATCCTTAGTAAGAAATACAATTATGTTATTTCAGGAAAGCTGGAGCTGGCCTATGAAAAACACACATACAAGAACATTATCTTTTTTTTTTAAGTTTAATTGAAACATCAAATTTAATCTCAAATTTTAAAATCTTAATGATTTTTTAAACTATTGATAAAACAATGTTTTCTTAAGAACATTGGAACTGAGAGAAATAGAAGGTGGTAACAGTATTCCCGTATGAGATTTTTGGAACTAGTCCCAATATTCAGCTTTATATTCTCTACTGTGATGCTACAGTTTTGGGCATTGATTTATCAGCATGTAGGGTTAAAGGCTGCATTGCACACCTCCTGCAGGCTACAATCTCACTTGATTCTTTAAGTGCTTTTAGACATTTTGTAAACAAATAGGCATTTTGCATAATTTTATATTGTAAGTACATTTAGAAGGTGGAAAAGTATGTGCAGCTAAAAATTTTGTTGTTAGGAACATCAGAAATGGTCCCTGCTAGCATTTTTCTAACCTTAGAGAAAGAAAGAAAATGAAGTGCTCATAGCCATTGGCTGTTACCAGTGCATTCACAGAAATTAATAACAAATTTCCCAAAAGGCTAATAAGTAGTTCTAAAATCAAAGGACTTATTTCTTCAATTCATTTCATACCTAATTAGGGCATAATAGTGCCCCTTAATATGAAGTATGTTTCCTACGGAAAGGCTGGGCAATGTACTAAAAACATTTAATCATCTAGCATGAGATGTTCTTTTTTTATGGCCTGGACTTTCAAATACAGCCAGAATTAGATCTTGTTTACCTTATATTTTTAAATTATTATTTCCTGTACTTAATGCAATAATGCTAAAAATAAAGCATTTAGAAAATTAAACCTTTTGGTCTATTGTTATTTTGGTTACAAACCTTCGTGAATCAGCTCTTAGCTCCCCCCCAAAAACTCCTTTCACATAAATCATCCAGAATTGTCTGTTTTTGTGACAATTTTCAAAAATAGAGATTTTTCAAGGTGGTTAGGTTCTACCTTTGATCGGGTTTACTGGTTGGCTGCCATCATTTGCCGTGTGTGTATGTGTGTGCGTGTGTGTGTGTGATTTGGTTATTTTTTTCCTCAAAACAAGTATTTGTAGACTCTTTAAGCCAAACGAAATTTACTTACTGTCTGCCACTTAGCCCTTTGGTGGAAACCCTTTCACAATAAGTAAACTGCAGTGAAGTGGAATCTGATATCTTAATTTGGAAAAGGAGACAGATTTTCATTTTAAATACTCAGAAGCACTTTTTATTAGAATGAAAATAACAAGCACCTTGATGCTGTCCACTTATGAGTCTCAGATAAATCAGGCAGTGAGATGAGGTAAACTCAGCAAAACCCGATTAACATAATTACACCCTGATTTCCCCGCATGCCTCTTGGGAATTAGTCCTCTCTCTCTCTCTCTCTCTCTCTCTCTCTCTCTCTCTCCCTGCCCAGCCCCCTCAACCCTCCAGGAAGATGGGGGCCCCGTTCTGTAAGCTGAGTCAGGAATCCTTAGCCCTGATAATGTCAGTATTCTATATGAAGGGAATCTGCCTGCTGAGCTGCTGGTGGCATTTCATAGAGCCTGGGTCTCTGGAGAAGTTTCTAGGTGGCCAGGAATGGGTAGATGCAAGGACAAGAGGGGTAAATCCTTTCCTGTGGGAAGCAAACTTTGGGAAATTGGAATGATTGACTCCCAAATACATGTGCATATCTATAGCACCTTTTCAAAAAGGAAAATATGGGAAAATAGGGAAAGCTAGAATATTCAGGAAAAAAATTACCAAGACAGGCATTTAAAACACTTTTTAAAATAATGGAAATTTACATATTGAAATTGTTTATAAATTTATAAATTACACACTATATTATATTATACATCTATTGTATGACAGCTGATGCTTTTGGAAGATGCTTGGAGAGAACTGTTTGTTCTAGGAATAGCACAATGGGCCATTCCGGTTGATGCTAACACTCTACTGGCTGTATCTGGTAAGAATTGCACAATTTAATGACTTTGTTGTAGAAATTACCATAAAAATACATTACTGAAAAAAGAACAACATGTAAAGAATAACAAATTCCTGCTGAACAATAGAGTATACCTGTCATTTATAAATCTATATTTAAATGCAAATAATGTTGTTTTGTTGTATTCATGACTGCTTGCATTGTTATTTAAATGCAAATTACTGTGTTTGTTATCATCCAAGAGAAGATTTTATATTAACTTTCATACAATATAGCCAGTTTACATGGAATCAGATATCTTAGAGTGACAATTGAATAGATATTGATATGCAGGATTTTGTCAAAAATCAATATTAAATCATGAAAATGCTTTCATATTAGAGTATTTATCCCATATTTTTATTCTAGGCATGAATAGTGACAACACAGACTCCCAGAAGCTGAATAAGATCATATCTGAAATACAGGCTTTACAAGAGGTGGTGGCTCGGTTTAGACAACTCCGGTTAGATGCTACTGAATTTGCCTGTCTAAAATGCATTGTCACTTTCAAAGCTGGTAAGCAGACACAGACCTCTGTCTTTTCTCCTTCCCGGGTTTTGTCACATCATTAATTCAGCCACCCACCTCAAAGTCCAGGCTGACCTTTGCAAAAGGGGCGATGGTTTTCAAGGGAGCTGATATACCTAGTCTGATTGCTGTGGGACCTGCATGTTCTCCTGCTAGGCATGCACTTCCAGAGAGGTGTGTTCCCACAGCGTTTCCTGTGTTGCCTATCACAGCTTCCTGGTCTTCATTTCTAGTTCCTACACACAGCGGTTCTGAACTGAGAAGTTTCCGGAATGCTGCCGCCATCGCAGCTCTTCAAGATGAGGCTCAGCTAACTCTCAACAGCTACATCCATACCAGGTAACCCTTGTTTGCCTTGAACATGTACTTAAGAAAATTGCTTCCATTGTGAATGTGTAAGCAGGCAGTAGTAAGTCAAACAGTGTGACTAATTATCCTGTTGCCAGCCAGTTAATTTAGGTAGAATCTATGTCCTCACCTATCTCCCAGGGTTATCAAATTAGATGATCAAAGTGAAAGCAGTGTCAGACACATTACAGCCATCTTGGTTGAACAAGTCGAGCCATCAAAATAGTTGAACACCTTTGTGTGAATGGATATGGGAAAAGTAAAAAATGAAGTTCAACAAGTTGTGGTTGATTTACTGGAGAGCGGTCACATCATCCTTGAAAAAGGCATTTTCAGGCGGAATAAAGCCAAGCTTTTAAAGAGCAATGGAACCTCTCTAGCCTCCTAAGCAAGGACTATGGTAGATCTGAGGTTAGAATAGAGTTGCTACTCTTGTTTATTCTCTAGATTGATCTCGAAAGAGACCCGTGAAAGTCGGTCTCCATCATCTCAGTATCAGCCATGGATACTGTGGTGGGAATAACTACATCAAACGGATAGAGGCTATTAATTCCTCCCTCACCTAAGGGTCAGAGAAATTACAAGTAACTATCCATTTGGGGTGACACCACTTCTGCTAGGATCTCCTGGTTCCCTTCATAAATTTTCTTTTGAATACTGAATGAATAAAACCATTCCCCATCCATGTAATATAATTGAACCATGTTGAGTGATAGATAGTGCAGGTGTATATGTTTTTCCAAATTAAAGTGCCATGATTTGAAATTTAAATTCCACATTCAAGGGGCCGGCCTGGTGGCGCACTGCTATAGTGCGCCGCTTGGGAGCGTGGTGACGCTCCCGCCGAGGGTTCGGATCCCACATACAGACCGGCCGCTCACTGGCTGAGCGAGGGGTGGGCGCGACACTGAGGGTTGCGATCCATTGCCGGTCACGAAAAAAGACAAAAAGAAAAAAATAATAATAAAAAAATAAATTCCACATTCAATAGCAGAATATATATGACAGTACTTCAAAAGTTTGTGGAAAAATAGAATTAAAAGATAATATGAATTTTTTCATTAACTTTTTGAAGTCCCTTGTCTAAGTAGACACTAATATTTATTGAAAATTATAAAATGGGGCAGTACATAGTTTGGGCACTTTCCTCCCACTAAAAACCAACTTATAGAAAAACTAAAAAAATAAAACAACAAAGAAGAGAAAAACTAAGTTGTATATCAAAATTGACCTTTGACGTTTAGAGCCATTACAGTATTAAAGACACGTAACTGAAAAAATGGGATATCCAGTTATTGGTTCAGTCGAGCCTTTGCTGAGTACTCGTCATGTGCTCTAGGTGGGCACTGTGGGATACTAAAAAGGACAAGATACTGTCCATGTCATTGGTGAAGTGGGTAGAAGCGTCACTCCTATTCAGACCAGACAAGGGAGAAAAACAAAGTGGGGAGTGGGAGAGACGAGCTGCACATGGAGGGGGTGAGGGAAAACCTGGAAGGTTGACGTGAGTTGGTCCTTGAATGGTAGAAGGATTTCAGCAGGGAGAAGGGGTGCAGTGAGAACCAGGGGAGGAGCTGGTAGAAGTTCTCTGGGAGGTGCCAGGGAGTCTGAGAGAGCCTGGCATGCTGGGAGCTGCTGAGAGGGAAACTGAGATAATTCTACCACAGAGGAAAACAATCTGTTTAGAGAAATGGCAAGTGCATGACATCTTCCCCACCCCCAAGCCAGGAAACTACTGATGGAAGGAACATATCTGCTTTGGTATGGAATTCTTATTTCATGATATCAGCTACAGCTGTAATTTAATGTTAATATCTAGAGTCATGCATGTGACAAAAATGACTCTGCCTTATTTCTTAGCTCCTTCAAATCAGTGAACACTTTTTCCTCTAACACTTTCCTGTCGAGAAAAATAAAATCTGAAATTGAAATGAAAGGTAATATGCAAATTGAGCTAATTGTTTGTTATAACTCTGTAAGCTATTTCTCTAATTATCTAGGACATAAGGAGAAGACTAAAAATTGGTATTTCACACAAACCTATGTTTTAAATGAAGATCAAATGCATGAATCTGTGATAGACCCAAAACACTTAAACCTGAAAAGAAACTTTCAGTTATTCATGCTAATTGATGAAGTTAGGGCATAGATATTCTAAAAAGTAATTTTGAGCAGTCAGACTCTCTCTTTCTCCCTGTCTCTCTCTCTCTCTCTCTCTCTCACACACACACACCCACACACACATACACACATACACACACACACACACACACACACACAGTTATTATTTCTGGGTAGTACAGTATTCCACATATAATAGACAGTTAATTCTTGTTGACTGACTAACCAGCCCTTTCCCAACTAGAGAATAGAAGAAGTGCGCGAGTAAGGTAAGTGGGTAATCTATTCACAGAAAATCAAGAGTTAATTGTTTATGGATTCTCCAAAATCTATCCTTTCTTTTTTTTTTTTTTTTTTTTTTTTTTTTTTTGAGACTGGCCGCACCGCGCTCAGCCAGTGAGCGCACCGGCCATCCCTATATAGGATCCGAACCCGCGGCGGGAGCGCTGCTGCACTCCCAGCGCTGCACTCTCCCGAGTGCGCCACGGGCTTGGCCCCAAATCTATCCTTTCTGAAAGTAATTATTTCCCACAATGGCTTCTCACCACGGGAAATGCTCAACACATTGGATGGATGCCGCAGACAAGACAGTAATTGTCCAGGCAGCCACTGCCTCCAACTCACTGCAGGGTTATCTCTTGTCTGTTTGACTCTGGGAAGGGGAACAGACTTTTGGAGAGAGGAAGTGGCCAAGGTGAAAGGGAGATGGGACTCAGGATTACTTTCCAGGAAACACAGGAGACAGATTCAGCAAGGAGAGCAAGTGGTGGGATTTTGGTTTTTTTTTTTTTTTTGTCTTAATGTAGATAAGTTTCACCACTTCTATGCCACATTACTAAATGTGGTCTGGTGGCCCCTGTCCATGGGTGGTCATGAAGCTGGCAATAAAAGAGCCACACGAGGGCTGGCCAGTTAGCTCAGTTGGTTAAAGCATGGTACTGATAACACTGAGGTCATGGTTCCATCCCTGTACAGACCAGCTGCCAAAAGAAAAAAACAAGTGTGAAATTTGCTTTCCTGGATTCTACAAGATGTCTCCAAAAAGTTTATGGAAGGATTCACATTATCTTTTAATTCAATTTTTCCACAAACTTTTTGAAGTGCCCTTGTATTTACAGGGTGAAGTTATCAGACAGTTAAACATAGCTACCTAACTCCTTTGAAGGAATTTTAATATCCCTCCATTTCTAGCACTTTGTGGCTTGGGTTGGACCTGGCTTAATCACAGACATGTGTCCCCAGAGCTTAGTTTTTTAGGCACTTTGTTTCAGTGGTCAGATCCCTCCTTGTGGAGTGGAGTGATACCTGATTCCAAGCTATTGGCTGAAGAAATATCAGGACTGCAGAGAGGAGGTGGCTTGCAGGCATCTATAGGCAGCAGAAAATTGAACTTGCATATCTGAGCACAGATGTATGTTGGACATCAAGAGAGGAAATTGTTAAGCAATTTCTCACATCTTTAATTATATGCCAATTTCATTGACATGAAAGTTGGGTGGCACTGCCACCCAACAGAACTTAGTCTTTAATTTACAGAGTAATAAGGATGGAATTATTCCTGAGAGTGACTAAGTATAATGCCTGAATAATAATTTGGAGAATTGCTTAGAAAAAGAAGCCATTTTATTTGAGGGAAATAGTCTTGTGAAGGAGCCTTGAGAATTAGAAAATGTGGGTTCCGCTGATAGCTTTGTAATCGACACCACAGTCTTTTTTACAGTGACAACCTTAAGTTTATTATTTGGCTTAAAATTAGTATTGTGTTTCTTAAAATTGTTTCTTCTCCAAACAAAATGCAATCTCTTTGCTAATGTAGAGAGAGTCACCATGTCATTTTGGCAGCATCATTACATTCACCATGCCTCAAATAGTCTACCCGTATAACAGGGACAGTCGTGTCTGTCTAGGACTCTGTTGCAGGGAGAGTATGTTATTGAAGAGGTCCAAATCAGGAAACTATGCTGGAGATGATTATGTTCAAGTGCAAGGTATCGATTCCCGTGAGTAATGGATTCTGACCTTGCTTTCGTGGCTTCTCATATTCCAGATATCCCACTCAACCCTGTCGCTTTGGAAAACTCCTGTTGCTCTTGCCAGCTTTACGTTCTATTAGTCCATCAACCATAGAAGAAGTGTTTTTCAAAAAAACCATCGGCAATGTACCAATCACAAGACTGCTTTCAGATATGTACAAATCCAGTGATATCTAAGCTCTCAAGGTCCCCACTTTTCAGGATGGGACAGTATCAAACGAACTTCTACCCAAGGAGAACAAGCCTCAACTAACAAACCCTTCAGGAAGCATAAACTTGGGAATGTGTAGCCTTCAGGAAATAAATGCCAATTGACGCAAAACAGTTCCAGGAGCTATGACCTGCTGCCTCAACCAGGGAAGGGTGGCCAGGAAGGAAAGGGGCGCAACAGGACCGCCTGAGCAGAAAACTCACTGCTGCCATGCCCTGGGAGGGGGCAAATTGGGGTTGCCACAGGCTGTGCCACTCTGCCTCTAACTGCAAGATTGGGCCGGGTTATCAAAAGCCGAAACACACGTAGTGCTTTCTTTTCCTTTTTAGCATATAAGATTGGGTAACCAAATATAGCTCTGCGTATAAATTCAGAACTATGTTATGTTGGAGCATTGATTTTAAAAATAATGGTTAGGTTTTAAATCAAAAATATTATCAAAAGTTTTCCTTCTATTGTAATACATCATTAAGTGGCCTTCAGAGCTGAGTTAATAAGTGAAAAGTAGCTTATGCCATGTGATTTGCTTTTCCTCTATCTTCTTTTTTTTCGTTTTCTTTCTTTTGTTCTTTTTTCTTCCTCCTTTTCTTCTCCTTCTTCTTCTTCTTAATACCATAGGCCAGGCAACCTTGTCAAAGGAATTGGTGGATGAAAATGAGATCCTCACCAGGACTTCAGGATGGATAACATCTCAAATATAGAAGAGCTTTACTGAAAGAACGCAAGTAGAGGGAGGATGAATAAAAACAGCAAAACCAAATAAAGTGGAGATGAGTGATTGAGGTAGATTGCTGTCCCGTTACCATAGTGCTGAGACCAAAGGCAATGGGGGTCCAAACTCGTGGTTCGGCGAATCACACCAGACAGTAAATGAACATGGACACAATGCCAGAAAGAACTTCAAGGAGATGAACGCTAAGAGGTTTCTTACTTGATCCATTGCTAACAGCCTGAGACTCTTCAATGCCTTTCAGAAAACTCTGGTTTCTAGTAAAGCCTTGAATGCACACACACACATATCATCATCATCATCATCATCATCCCACACTATAAGCTGCTCCTTTGGTATAAATCTATACTTATGGAAATGTAGAAACAAACATTTTTAAATAGCTGCTGTACTTTTCACCTTTTGATTTATTAGGTACTAGCACTGAGGAAAAAAATTCAGCACTTGGACTATCATAGGATGAGTAAAACTTTTCTTGTACAAAGTGAATTAACTGATTTGTGAAGTTAAAAGGTTGTACTCATTGTATTTACAAAGAATAAAAATATATTGAGTTTAAATAAACACTGCCTGCTTTCTTAGCCTCCCTCCCTGGCTGGTTCTCACCCACTAAAACAAGGTGGCAGCAACAGCTGGTGTTAAAACTAAAGCTCAGACCGCTCCAGCGCAGAGCCTAAAGAACTGAACTACAAAGGCAATTTCCTTTTTACAGTGAATCCCATTTGTAAAATGATGAATAAAGAAATAAAGCATAAGATTCCCTTCTGTACAGCTCTCAAATGTAATTGCATCTGTTAGAAAAATTGCTGTGTGAGGAAGAAAGAGGCCGATTAACAGTCATTCACTCCTCTGTTTCTAACTCCCTTGCCAACATTTCAGATCTGACCAGGAACTTGAAGTCATTTAATGATCAAAATGATAAAGTGTAAAGAACTATATTGGTGAGTAAGATGTGGAAGGAGCAGTAGAAAGGCCATGTTCACAGTAAATCTCAGGGCACTGGCTGCACAGTCAGAGGCCAGTGGTAGAAATCAGAGGTGCACTGTAGGCTCCTTCTGGGTGGCAGCTCCAGCAGGAGTTGCTCCTGCCTCTGCTCTCAGATAAGATGACTTTGTAGACTTTGTACAAGTTCTATCAGCCATGTGCTTCTTGTCTACTGATGTTACAGAGAACAAGAAGTTGGTCTTAAAGAAAAGCAAGGTACTCAAAGATGTGTGCAAAAGGAATTTTCTTTGCAACAGTGCTCATATTTAACAACTTAAATGTCCATCAACAGAGAATAGGTACATGTGGTAAATACAGATAGTGTTATAGTAGTTAAAGAGAATGGCTAGAGCCAATGTACAGTGTTGGGTGCTGGGTGAGAAACCAGTGAGAAGTGAATTGCAGAGGATACACACAGCTTGGTATCATTTATAGAAAGTTTTACAGGGCTGGCTGGTTAGCTTTGTTGATTAGAGCATGGTGCTGATAACACCAACATCCAGGGTTTGGTCTGTGTCCTAACCAGCCACCAAAAAATAAATAAATAAATAGATGAAAACAGTTTTACAACCTACAGAACAATACTAGATTATGGGTATATGAATATATGGCAAACATTGGGAAAAAAAGAATCTGAAACAAATGTTGAGATCAATGACAAGATTTGGTAAAGCAGGGTGATGGGTCCAAGGCTAATCATCCATGTATTTGTCAAGTTTCGCTTCAGCAATGCTGAATAACAAACAACCACAGCTTACAGCAACAAACTTTTATTTCTTGCTCACAGGACTGCTAGTTGCCTGCAGCTCTGCAGGACTTGGCTGGGCTCAGCTGGACCTGGCTCCAGGCTGTAGTTTGGGCTCAAATGTGCTCCAGGGTTTCCTCATTTTGGACAGCAGCTTCCCTAAAGCAGCTTCTTTCCATGGCAGAGTGCAGAAGTGTCAGAGGCTGAGCCGAACCTCGCAAACACAGTCAGAGCTGCTGCTCACTTCCCATTTGCTCACTTTCCACCAACCAAAGCCAGACACATGAGGGCAAGGAAGCGTACTCCTGTGCTGGTGCGGCAAGGGGAGAGAAGATTCTCTGAACTATACAAAAATCTATTACAAACATAGTCTACTTTGGTCTATTTCAAATATTCCCAGTAAAATTAAAAGAATAAAATTCCTGTGACAAGACACGGAATACTGATTCCCCCTGGAATTGCCTTTGATTTCAGCATCTCTGCCATTACAAAAAAGAATCAAACCTAGCTTTCAATACTTGAAAAAGCCCAGAATTAATAACTCAGTAACAGTCTCTTCTGGGACCTTGGAATTTCTGTAGGATGTAGCCTCAGGAAGGACTCCCTCGGGTTTTTGTTTGTTTGCTTCTTTTTGGCAGCTGGCTGGTAGGGAATCCAAATCCTTGACCTTGGTGTTGCACTCTAACCAATTGAGCTAACCAGCCAGCCCTCCGTTGGGTACTTTAAGAACATCATTGCTTGTATGGATTTAAGGCAGACATCCTCTATGGCTGGTGGTATGGGGGAGATTGCAAAGTGGTCTTGGAATATACAGATTCAGGTATATAATTTGAATATACAAACAAGAGAAGATGAACTCAGCAAAGAGATTACTGCAGTAAAAAACTAGTCATCAGTGCTTCTCCTTTGACAAATGGTTTTTCTAAATCTAAGAGGGTCACTTTTTAAAAGTATTATTTACATACCACAACAATTAGGTATGGAGACTTACATTTGTGTTTGAATTACTTTTTTAGTTGTTCTTTGATGCAAGGGAAGAAAGAGTATGGGGAATGAGTTCAGGAACTGAATTGACACTCTTAAATTATTTCACTTATATTTCAAGGTTTTTGATCTGATTTAAGAGACCAAGAACTGAACCTATTGGCCGGAGATCCATGGCTACCTTCCTTAATGATTTTTATATATATGGAAACACTCAACTTTTCTGCAAGTTAACTTTTCTGTGTGTATGGCTATCTTTCCTGGCGGGTACCTATTGCTCTACCTTATTCAGTTTAACATCTGTCTAGTATTACGTTTTATGGATGGACTACAGCTTATCCAACTAATTCCTTGTTGATAGACTTTGGCTGCTTGCAGTTTTTCACTATATCAAAATTAAAAAATTGTTTTTTTTTTTGTTTGTTTGTTGGCAATGGCCAGTATGGGAATCTGAACCTTTGACCTTGGTGTTAAAAGTTGGCACTCTAACCAACTGAACTACTTGGCCAGCCTTCACTATAATAAATCAAACTGCAGAGAGCCAACCTTCTATGTACACTTTTGTGGTCTTGTGGGAGTATTCCTGTAGGATAAATTCTTAGAAGTGGTGTTTCTGGGTCAAAGATTATATGCATTTTAAATTTTAATAGATACAGCCAAATGGCTCTTCAAACGGGTTGTATCAATTTGCTCTCCTGCCAAGAGGGTATGAGAGGGCCCATTTTATTGCTCAGAATTTAAAAGTGCTTAATCAGATACTAGCTTGATGAACACTTCAGAAGCTGTTAGAAAAATACAGAGATTGCATATGTTTCTATTATGAATGTGCCTCTGCTACAATGCTTACTGGATTGGTTAAGTAGGTCTCACCTAGTACTCATGGATAGAGCTTGGGTTCCCAAGTTTTTCAGTCCAGTCCACTTCTGTGAACTTTTGAAAGTGTCCATGTCACAGGAAGGTTAAGAGAAAGTGGGTAAATAAAAATGTAGAAGCCACTTGGCTGATGCTTTCTACTACTGAGATGCTGCTCTAAGAATCTCAGGCCATTTACAATAACACTTTTTTTATAGTCACTTCTGGAAATTAAAGAACAACAACTCTCTTTAACTGAATAACTTCAGTACCTTTTCCACAAATGACAAATAGTTTATTTTCTATATAGTCTGTGTTTTTAATAATGTTTTTAGATTTTTGTAACTCATTTTGGAACTTGAAGTGGCTCCAAACATTGCTGACCTCAATATACACTGTCCCGGAGGCTGATCTGAGCTTTCAGCTGCACACGGTGAGCCAGGCTCATCAGCAGTGCAGCAGGAGGTAGACTCTCAAATGAAGACACCAGGATGTTGCCACATATCCTGGGCATCTTTGTGATATGTGAAAGTGTTGCAATGCCCTGCTGGGAAACTGTGGTGAAGTCATTGTAATGATGAGGCCAAGGTTATAGATTTGATCCTCAGGTAAGCCAGGCATCCTTGTTCTGTCCATGGCACTGGTATCTCTGATATCTGTCAGTTGCTAGTCCCAGTACAGGACACTGAGCAAGAGTCAGGAGAGATCCAGTCTCCTCTACTCTGATGGATAGAAAATAGCTCACAGCTCCTGTTCCACCGATGGTCAGTTCAGAGCATTTTCTCTGCTCCCGCAATGAGCCTAATAGAAGGAGCACTGGCCAGGGTGAAGAGGCTGGGGTTCTAATAATGACCCATGTGATCCTGGGCAAGTCAGTTAACCTCTCTTCATCTTTGGTTTTCATCTGTGAAAAGGAGTAGTAGCCTCAGGAATAACTAACCCTTTCATTTACACAAGTCCTTCTCAATCTCGGCTGCACATAGAACCACCTGGGGAGCTTTTAAAACAGTGCCAAAGCAGCATCCCAGACCGATTCCATCAGCATCTCCGGGCAGGGCCAAGGCATCAGTATTTTTAAAGTTCCCCAAGCGATCCCAGCGTGAAGCTGAGGATGAGAAGCACTGATGCCTGCCTTCAGCCAGGAGCCCAGGGAAGAGGGTGCATCTTCAAGCTCCGGGATGGCCGGTGCCCCTCATCCCTCATGCCTGGTTGCTCTCCCCCTACACTGTGGTGACCTTTAAGAAAGTTAATTGTTTCCCCTCTTTTCCTGCTCTGGCCTGTCATTGAACTCACCCAGCTGATTGTGGCACTTGTGATTGAGAACCTCTTCTGACCGCTTCCCTTTCCCCAGAAATTAACGTGATCATTAAGGCTTATAATTTCACTCACCAGTGCTATCAATCAAGGGGCTGAAAAACAGTTAAGAGTCCTTTTGTAATTGGCAGCAGCCAGTGATTCGGAGCAGAGCATCCAGGGCCTGTGGGAAGGCGGGAGGAGAGGAGGGCCTGCTATGCAGGGGGACTGCACCCCCTTGAGCTGACTCTCAGCGCTTCCCCCAGGGGCTAGCAAGCTCTGTTCTTTCACCTTCCAGAATGTCAAAATTAGGAAGACAATTCTTGCCAACAGTGCTCCAGGATACCCCTTGCCCACCCCAAGCTCTCTGCAATAGAGAGGAAGGTCTCTAGCATCCCTGGAATAGCGAAGAGCAGTGGACTCTTTATACACTGGGCAACCCAAATCTGGAGGGCAAGGGGCAGTGGGGTCCAGATCATCTTTAGTTCACAAGTGGGGTTGAGGCTGTGAGACCCGAGGAGGGGAAGCATTCCCCATCCGCTTGTTTAGAGATACCTTGGAACCTCATAAACAACAGCTGAGCCCAGAGCAATGCACTCTGTGGCCCCTCCCCCAGCCCAGGTAACTCCAAGCTTCTTCCTGCATGCAGAGAGCTGTGTGATCAGAGTGGCCCTGTGAGAAAGGCTGAGTTTCTCTTGTGGAA